TTTCTTCCCCCAGTTGCAGGGATCGCCGCGGCGCAGCGCGAGTACGACAGAGACGGAATTAGTGTTTCTATAGCAACTCTCTACCCCGTCCGTTCGTGAGTTCGTTCGTTCGTGAGTTCGTTCCTGCTTTGGTCCGTCCGCTGGTCCGAATCCTTTCTTCCAAGGCTCTATCTCGTCATTCCGATTCTTGGCAATTTTTTCAAGGATAACGTATAAAACCAAGAGGAATTAAATATCTCCATAAGAAAGAAGATTATTCGTTTGTAATAATAGAAAATGTTCATGAGAAAGAAAAAAAAAAAAAAGAGAAAAATAAAAAAACAAAAAAATATTCGTCAAATTATAATTGATAATATCAATGTAATAATATTCTATTTAGTTAGTTTAATCTATTGTAAAAACAAGTATATATATATTTTCGGTACACACATAGATATCCATGTATACACCATTTCGATAAAGTGGAACTGATATCGAGTCGAGTTATGTTCACCCCAAATCAGGAAATATGAAGCTCCGATACTACTTTCATACAATATATCCTCGCGAGGGTGATCGGTTTACGTGGAATATCATTCTGGCAATACGTTATTGCATATTTTAAACTGAACTACGCTTTGTCTCAAAATACATTCTGACTGAAGCTACTTAGTTCTTATAGTTCTTTTGCATTCTCTTTGACCAGTTCCTTCCAGCCTAATAACACCCTTTTTACGACTCCTCGTACCCTGGAATCTGTTTAATGCTCGACGTATCGGCCCCTTGCCTATGAAAGAGACTACGAGCTTGCAGATTCATGGTCCAAAGAATCTAATTCGAGAAGAATAAATTGTCATAACAATAAACATTGTAAAATCTTTCGTAAGAATTTTATTATAAATTATTTAGAAAAATTTAGGTTACAAAAATATATAATTATTTGATTAAATTATAATACGAAAATAATATTTTTATTATCCTGATTATTTTATTTAGTAAAAAATTCATCAAATTTCAGACGAGATTCGATTGTTAATTTCAAGATAAATATATCAACCGTATTAAAGATATATTTATTTAGAAACTAATCAATAGATATTTCTCTCGATGCCCAAATTATTTATATATTTTATTAATCCGTTTCGTATGAAAATAACGTAAGTCAAAATATACGATATCTATACTCATCGATTGATCCAATATGATTTTTCGAATTGACAGAGAAAGAGAGAAATAGATCGAGAGAAAAAGATAGAAAATAGAGACGACATTTCGAAGAAAGTCGGCTTAAGAACATCGATGCGCGTGGTGTTGCAAACGTGCAGGAGTTAGTTCTTTCCTTTTTTACGGGGGTGGTCCTCGAGGGGTTTGACAAGCCCTTGGCTCGATAGTGTCACCTAAGCACCGAACCCCTTGGCTCGTTTCGTGTTCGAATCCTCCTTTTTACGAGCCCTCGGCTTACTTTTACGCCAAGACCCGCGGAAGCCCACGGCACTTTCCGCAGATACGTGACTGCTTACCGAAACTACGTCGTCGCTTGTATAATACACTCTAAGGTAAGGCCTGCGAACTACGTGCGACCTTTCTTCGATTTCTATAGTCTTGAAAATCTCCGTTTCCAAGACGCTATGTAGTTTAATCGATGGATCCTTACGGATAACACAAAGAAGTGTGTTTAACGGGAGGATGAATAAAACGCACTTGTTAAAAATAGATTACATAGTAGCCGAATTTATTTTCGATCATGCTTATCATTATATCGTTATTATTAAAACTTAATAATTAATAGTCAGGCATATTGAATTGGAAAGAGTTCCAACGAAATTTATTCTTATCGTATGATCTTTAAATGATAAGAATATCATTATTGCTTTATTACTTACCATTAGATTATGCCTTAATGCACCAAGAGATATATAACATCCTTTCATATAAAAGATTAACTTTCGGTCGTCTTCGTCTCTTAGTTGCCGTTGTCGTTTGGTCTCGCATCTGCTTTCATTGTTCCTTTGGCATGAACAAATTCGTGCCCATCAGAATGCAGTCGTGCAACGGAAGTCGCCCATACGGTACACCTCGAAGATAAATCAATTTAACGCTCGGCAGCTCTATTTCGGCGGATCTTGAAAGGATACTAACTAGCACGCGGCACCTGTCACCCATAAAGGTGGACTTTTCGTGAGCATTAGCTCACGCTGTAAGATGTTCGTTTGATATATCTAAGTTCTCGCGGTCTTCTTCTTATATAGATAGAAAAAAAGCAGGTGAAAAGTATAAAGATCCGTGTGAAGGCACGAGCTCTCTTCCACACGATAATATCAATGATGTTTTTGTCCTGTTATGCGTTCCTTCTGCTATCTTAACGTCTAACGCGATACGGTTGTATCTAATGTCTATCTTACATTATGATGTCGATAAGTAGTAGCGTAGCATCTACGTTGATATTGAATTTGATATAAGCAACAGATAAAAACTTTTTGGTAAACAAATCTAACGATATCGATTTAAATTTTTTTCAAACAGTCGCTTTTTTTTTTTTTAATTTGACCAATCGTTAGATATATCCAATGTCCCAAAACCACCTGTCGTAGAAGAAGAGAATTTTTGAAGGACACAGAGAGTTTATCTATAACTAATTTTTACTAGAGGCAAAAGGATTCGCCATATGGTCCTCCGGTTGGTCTCTCGCCACCAAAATCGAGCGTCGATTTCCGAGAGGCAACGGTGCTTCGAGGAACGATGCCCATTTATTTGGCGTGTGCTGTATAATTAGGACTCCGAAGCTGGCCTTACCGAAGGCCCTTAGTGGGCCTTTTTCTTTCTTAGCTTCTAGTTGGAAAACGAGTTTTGAAAATATATTATGTGTGGCCCTGCGATCGGTCAAAATTCATTCTCTTTTCAAAAGTAGACTTTTTTCATTCCTCACAAATTTCTTTCAATTATTGTCACGACGAAAGATCGTTATGATTAATGTACGATCGCTACAAAGAAGAGTTTCATACACTTTAAACAAACTTAGAAATGGGATTAAAACGGAATGAGATAAAAAAAAAAAAAACAAGAAAAAGAACAAAAAAAGATAAGAGAAAGAAAAAAAGGCACTCGTCTTATTACGGATTATCAGGGAAAAAAAAATTTCAACGACTCGGTCAAACTGGTCTATTTCTATGAAATTCGATAGCATTGAGATACTTTTTTTTGTTTTTTTGTTTTTTTTTTTTTAAAGAGAAACTTGGTTCGTTCACGCTTGATTCGAGAGGGCGTCGACAATTTTTTTTTTTGTCCCCACACCATATGTCGAGAATAGCCGACTTCCGTAAAACGGGAAGTCATTTAAATATAGTCCTTTTCGAAAATTAGAGATGTGGAAAAGAAAGCCGACTAGAGTAGTGCCAAGCGATAATGGAATCGGTCGTTTCGTACGACGTGCCGGTAAAGGAAAATTTACGTTAGCTCGACAGGTATCTTAATGTTCTCTCATTTAGTATCAAAGCACTTTAAAATGCATTAACTTTAACGTCTCCATTTCATAACACAACACCTATCTCTATAAATACAAATTGTCAATCCTTGAATTGTATATCCTACGCTCATGCGATCTATCGAATGGATAATTTGAAGATAATGTCTATGCGTTTCAATAAAATTTCGTATATGAAATGAGCTAACAAAGACGAATATTGAATTTTTATTACGATATACATACATACATACGCACCGTTTGATCGATGGATCAATTGATTCTTAAGGAGACCAGATTCCTCTAAAAATGTGCTTACGTTCAGTGTGCAAGAAACTCCCCTGGACAAAAACGCATCGTACGTTTCAGGATTTCACGTAATTTTGGGTTTCACCCGTAAATGGTATCGCGTTTCTTGCGACGTTGGATTGGCGCATTGTCAATGGTAGGCCACCTAAGGATCAAGGGTGCCAGTCAGGATCCCTTTCATCCTTCTTCCTTCGGGGCAGCACGCGCGCTTTGCCCTCTATAAAGGAGTTTTTTTTCTTTTTTTTTTTTTTTTTTTTTTTTTTTTTTTACTGGAAAGACAAAAAACAAGGAACGCCAAAGCGAAAGCGGAAAAGGGGAAGTTTACACCCCTCTCGGTACTCCCTCTTTCCCTCTTCTTTTCTCCTTTCGCTTTTAGAGACGCGTGGCGTGCACACGACGCCATTATTTTTCTTCTTCTCTTTTGGACACCGCGAGGAAAGAAATTTACGGGGGACTCGTTGCGGTGGATTTTCCAAAATTCGTTACCATCGTGGAAACTGTTCTTCTTTCTCTCTCTCGTTATAGCCACTTAAAGATCTCCCTTCGATCTCTGGGGAGTACTTAGATATATGTATGTATGTATGTATGTATGTATGTATATCCTTTCGAGTACTTCAACGGAACACCTGTTTCTAATTTTATTGTTATTTGCTTTCGCAAAGATACTTTAAAATCTATCGAAGTTTTCAAAATAGAATTTCTAAAGTGTAGGTATATATTCATTTTTTTTTTTAAAGCTTTTGTGACAAACGAAAAATTAAAGATATATTTATATAGATACATACATAAATATATTGATAATTGAAATTCGTCATTATTTAATAATTAAAAAAATATCTCTGTTTAATGTATTACCATTGAAGTTTATTAATTATTATTGACATAGTTTACAGCTACGATTATTAAAAGCCATATATTAAAATGTAATCACGATCGAATTCGTAAATATTTACCCATTTTCGTCGCTACTACTTCAGGTAGTTGCGTGCGTGGTCTAAAAACCCTCGAGTTTTATGGATTCTGACCCCAAAAACGGTTCTTGCCCTGCATGCATCCAAAAGAAAAACGCACGATTGTGTCCCCTTCGCCGCGTGCAGCTAGACATTCTTGACATGTTGGCACAGTTCTTGACAAAGGAAGCAATGCGGTGGGAGTAAACTTATATGCCTGCACCGCTATGTAACAAACAAAAAGTGGTGGATCCCTTCGGATCGCTTATACCGTATCCAAAATCCGCCTACTTTTTTTTTCCTCCCCCCTTTCTTTCCTTCCGTTAGAAATATATTGAATTGCGAAATACTTCTTTACCTATGATCAATTTTTAAGAAAATAATATACGTCCTTAAAGAAGATATGCTGAATTTAAAGGTACCTTTTTTACTTTTGAATATATTACGACTTACCCTTTGTTGAACGCTTTGATCGACAATATCTCTGAAAACGTTTTATCGATAATTCTCACGTTAACATCTTTTCCGATATTCGGAAAAATGGAAATTTATGCAATGAAATTATACCGAGGAAAGAACCGGTTTTACATTGGCACTTTCAGAGACATCGATGCATCCAGTTAGGCTCGACTCGCTACATCTGCCACGTGCCCCCACATTACGGCATAATGTGTCACTGTGTCAGCTCTCTCTCTCTCTCTCTCTCTCTCTCTCTCTCTCTTTCTCTCTCATTTTCTCTTCCCCTATTTCTCTCTTCAACGATGTAGTGATGCTTGCAGCAGCCTCTTCACCTATACGAGCACGAGCGTGCCCGTAGAAATCCTAGATTTTGGAAATTCGATGAATTGAATGGTGGTGCGGCTGAATGCAAGTCGTATGTTAGTCCTACATGAGAGAGAAAGGGAGGAAGGAAGGGGGAGAGAGAGAGAGAGAGAGAGAGAAGAAGAGAGAAAAAGTAGGGAGGGAATGGGTGGTTTTTCAGTATCCAACTATGCTGCTGGTCTTTCCTTTCTCTCTCTCTCTCTCGTTCTATCCACCCCTCTTATATTCTTCGATAGTCTCCTTTCTCGTTTTCCTGCGGCACTGTAGCGACGCAAGATGCAACTTGGGATGAGTCGTGAAAATATCAAAACTTTTTGTCATCCACGAGACTTTTTTCGTTATTCTCCTTCCCTTTTGGTCCTTCAGGGAATAATAAACTCACAATGGTCTTATTGATGATTTTTGAAAAAAAAAAAAAAAAGAAAAAAAAAGAAAAAAAAAGAAAAAAAAATAAAATCGATTCATCGATCGAATATCGTCGTTATTTTTTTAATAATATATTTACATAGTATAATTTGTAAATTATTATGAAAAAAAAGAAAAAAAAAGGAAAAAGAAATAAAAGAATAAAAAAAAAAAAAATAACTATCGTTTAAGGTTAAGGCGTCTTGAAATGATTAGGCTTCTGAAACGATTAAACAGTGAGTTTTAATAATAAAAATAGTTCGACAGACCAGTCAACTCGATGAAACATTTACTAACTTAATTACATGTGTGGAAATCAGGGCGATAAATCACGAATAAACGATTTATAATACAAAGGATGTTCTTTTATCTTTTTCCTTCGAACTGTATATTCACAATAGGAATGGGTTATTCGTTCCTGTTTTTGTTGTTGTTGTTGTTATTGTTGTTGCTTTTTTTTTTTTTTGGCAGCGACGCAGTGACAATATTAATATTATATAATCGATACCTTCGATACTTAAATTATTTAGAAAAACTGTCTATATCATATTTGTACGAATAAAATTTCATTTATAATTCCACTTCTCGCTTCTTATGCTTCCTTCTTTTTTTTCTTTTTTTTTTCTTTTTTTTTTTTTTTTATTATTATTTCTTTATCTCTTATTTTATAGGAATACTATTCAAAATCAGTCTTGTGGTTGAGATATATTAGGTGTCTGGTGAGGTAGTGTCAGTTTCATAGTATACATTCAGTGCCACTCGATTTCTTATTCGTATCTTTTGTACATCTTTTCATAATTTTTCTTTCATATTTAGCCAACAATGATCTCTATAATCGTGTCCTTTTCTTTTTTTTTTTCTTCTTTTTTTTTTCTCATTAATTTTACATAGAAAAAACAGACGACAGACAAATAATAAAACAATATTGTTTAACATGATAATGAAAAATCTACAAAGTTCTCATAAACTTTATTATGCTTATGAAACGACAATAATTCCTTCGAGTGGCATTCTACGCATATTAAGTAGCGAGAATGTCTTCGAGTATTTTTACGGTGTGGCATTACTATTTTAATTAGAGGCATAAGGTCTGAATTTGTACCGTGCGTCGACACGCGCTACAAAGATTCGAACATGTGCGAGCACGCGAAGATAAATGAAATTAATTTATTAATTTTGATGTAGGGCAAGAAAATCATTGATTTTCGATTTACTCTCAGATGTTCGAATCTAATGTAATACGCGTAATATCGTCGTGCATACGATTATCCTTTGGATTGGCTGTACAAAATTATAACTATGTATAGTTATACATATGTATATGTATATGTATATATATATATATAAATACATACATACGTATATATATATACATATAGATACAATAAAGTTTACATTGTAGGTATGTAATCAAATATTTCAGAGTGACTGGGATTGTGATACGGAATTAATTTATTAATTAATTATTTCGTCCATTCTTATTGCTCGAAGAGACAGATTTAAAAGTTTTTTGATCGATGTAAATGGCATATCCAATGTCAATCCGTTCGTTACAATCCCAGTTCTAACACATACATTGTAACGGTATAATATTATAAGCTATTTGACACAAATAGATATTAATACTTATATGTAATTTCGTTGCTCTCATTAAAATGAGAGCAAAAATGACAACAACGATAATAACTAATTATTATGACAAGTGTTGGACAAGCAACGATATTTTTTCTCTCTTTTTTTCATTTCTGTTCCTAAATACAATGTGTACTGGACGTGTATGTAATATGTGTGTGTGTGTGTGTGTGTATTTGTATATATATGTGTATATATATGTGTATATTTATATATATATATATATAGATCCATATATATATGTATTCATATATATATATATATATATATATATATATATATATATATATATATGTATCTTCCGCGCGTTTATGTCATTAATTTTGCTTTAAACTTCATCAGGCTTCTCTGGTCTGTTTTTACATAAAGAAAAAATATAAAACAATTGACACGGTATTTTTTTACCCGAGTCGACAGGAACGTAATCTACCAGTATTTTATTCTTTCTGATATGGAACTAACGACCATTAATTAGGAATTTATTTCTCAAGATACCGATAAACTCAACCGTGAAGTAGAGTCATAGTTTCGGTAAATAGGAACGGAATTAGCACACTGCGAAAGAAAGCGTATCTTTCTTTATATCATATTAAACTTCTTCGCATTCGAATCATTTCAAGAACTGTTTTATTTGCAAAAAAAAAAAAAAAAAAAAAAAAAAAAAAAAAAAAAAAAAGAAGAAGAACTAAGTGTTGTCCACTTTGAATATCAAACGTTTCCAGGAATGATTACTTTAATAATATTATCACGCGTGCGATAATTGTTATAAACGTCCGATTAAATAGATAATAGAGAGCGTATCGTAATGAAAATTAAAATTAATATACTAATCGAGGACTTTGCATGTCTTGAAATAATAGAATTGAATTGAATTAAATCAAGCGATATTTTTAATATTGATTATATATAAAGTAAAATAAAATAAAAAATAATAATAAAAAGAAAAGTCCATAAATATAAATTTTTTCCTTTATCTAAGAGAGCACAAATCTAAGCGTATTCCAAGCGTATATATCTTTATAATATAATTCACGATCACATTTTCCTAAATATCTTTTCGTCTTTGTTTATTAATATATAACAAGTATTGCAACGTCAAGTTCGAACATGAATTTATAACATCATTTTCAACGTAGCTTCATACTACGTAGTAGTATAATACCACTACTTTCCATCTTAGCGATTATGTGGTCAAATCGTTAGAAAAAGTACTGGGTTCTCTCTCTATTTCTCTCTTTCTTTTTCTCTTTCTCTCAATCAGAAGAACGTGTAAGAACGTTGTATCGTTACGAAGCGTTTGCTCGCAAGAAGTAAATTCGTTAAGCCATCTTCTTACTATCATTTTATCACGATATTATACTCCTTATTTGTACTCACTCGCAACGGCGATTCTCCGATAAGTCATAGTTCTAACAGTGACATTATCCAAGATGAAGAAGAAGAAGAAGAAGAAGAAGAAGAAAAAGAAAAAGAAAAAGAAAAAGAGAAGAAGAGAAAGAGAAGAAGAAGAAGAAGAAGGAGAAGGAAGAAAAAGAGGAACTCGACGTGCTAGTCCAAGTAGTCTTTTCTTACGGCAGTGTACCATGTATAACCATCACCTGTCCACCGTACGAAGTGCCTCCGCTAATCTCGTTCGTGCTTTCTAGTCGAGCATTCGTTTGATAAAAAAAAAAAAAAAAAAAAAAAAAGAAAAAAAAAGAAAAAAAAAAGAAAAAAAAGAAAAAAAGAAAAGAAAAGACAGAAAGATAGAAAGACGCGACGACCACCTAAAGAAAATACAATGAGCACGAGCCTGCGTTCGATACGTACGATTCATCCATCCCTCTCTTTAATAGAGATCTCCTCCTTCAACAAGGAGTTCTGAGTTTCGAGTTCTGAAGCGTAGTTAAGAATCATCGAACGTATCCGAGTGTAAGATTAAAAGGAATAAGGGAATATATGAACCGGTCTTTCTCGAACGAGTTCCTATACTTTTATACAGTCTCATTTATACGCTTTTTTTTCTTCTTCTTTCATTTTATGTTTTATTAATTATCATTAGTTAATGCTTTCTAATATAACAAATAAATGTATCTTGAATTTTTCATTAATTTAATTCTAAGATTAAAATTTCAACGCATGGACTTTCGAATCAATCGTAAAAATTGTCCGCATAGTTTAATTATTATAGTTATATGCTATTCTTTTTATCAATGACAATATTATTATCCGTAAAAAAATTATTGCAATCGATGTATTGAATTTAAATCCAACGACGATTAGATAAATACATTAATTAGATAAAGTGTGAATGATTGACGCTGGACGAATGAGAAAGTCGTATAAGAGTATAAAACGGACGAGAAATCGTGATAGAATTGAAAAGAGAAGTAGATAAGTTATTAGATGAATGTACTGGTTATATATACAAGTTTCTCTGACAGTAAAAGTAGTGAGATGAAACGACATCGTTCCGTCGGTAGTACTCTGTAGGTTCAGCGCTTTGTAGATATAAAACTATATCTTTGTTTCTCTCTTAATCGTGTTATTTCATTTATGTTAACTTTGATACGAAAAGAAAAGAAAAGAAGAAAAAAAAAGGAAAAAAAAAAAAAAAAAAAAAAAAAAAGAGTGAAATCATACACAATGGAAATTTCAATAAATATTAAAATTTCCGAAGTAATTGAAAGGCTAAAAAATTTAAGTTTTTTTCCAAAGAATGAAAAAATTTTCTTTGTTTTTGAACGAAATAAGTCGATGAGATGATAAACGTTTATTATATATTTCTTTTCTTTTTTTTCAATACGGTACGATCAATTTAAAATTTTCGATATTATTTCGTTCAAAGTGATCTCTTAGAAAAACAACGTTTGAAAACGCGTGAATTCTCCAAAACGCACGTATCTTTAAAGAACTCTCCGATTTCCATTCTCTATTTCTTCGGACTCGCAGCCGGTCGGGATAAAATTTCTTTGAAAGCTTTTGTCCTACGAGTCTGCCTGCGGCACGGTCTTTCGCGTGAACCAGTTTTCGCAATGATTCCTTCTGCGTGCCGAAAATTCGCAGCCGGTGGTGATTCGTCGTCCTCCCCTGCCTTCGAGTCGACCCGACATATCTTTTCCTCTCTTTCTTAGTCTCTCAATGCTCTACTGATTTATGCCCGTTCCAGGGCATGCAAATTTCTTTCGTTGTAGGTCGTCTATGTCGAGGTCACTTGGAGTTATTGTTCCATTAGATAGGTTTCTGTACGGACGAATGTCAACTATCTTACTTCCGGGTCTATCTTTCCATTCTACTGTCCTTTTTATGCTCTTTTATTTTCATCGACAAAATGTTATAACCAGAATAACAATCCGTAATATAATACTACTACCTCAAAACTACTACCGATGGTACAATGAAGTGTGGATGATGATGATGATGATGATGATGAAGAAGAAGAAGAAGAAGAAGAAGAAGAAGAAGAAGAAAAAGAAGAATAGGGAGAATAGGAGGAGGAAGAAGAAGAAGAAGAAGAAAAAGAAGAAGAAGAAGAAGAATAGGAGAAGAGGAGGAGGAAGAATAAGAAGAAGATATTCTTCTCTTCTACATTTTCTGCAAACATCCTTCGAAAGAGAATGAGAGAAAGGGAAAATTGCCCTCGTTTCTCTTCCGTTCGCTTCGTGTCAGGCTTTGCTCGCGTTAAGAAGAGAGGAAAAGAAAGGGGGGAGAGAGAGAAAAAGAGAAAGAAAGAGAGAGAGAGAGAGAGAGAGAGAGAAAAGCTTTTCTTCCTTTTCCTCTCGTGTTTCCTCTTCCTTACGAAGGATCTTACGATCTCTTTTCTTACCGATGACGAAAAAGAAGAAATATTGTGTGTTCTGGTTACGATTCGCTTCGTCGCACAATATGAATCGAAACGATGTCTCTCTCTCTCTCTCTCTTTCTCTCTCTCTGTCTCTCTTTCTCTCTATTTCTCTCTCTTTCTTTTCTTCTTTCTCTTTTTTTTTTATTTCGTAAAGACATCACCCTCGCGCACCATCGAATACGATCGAGATTTCTGTTCTTCTCCTTTACGACTTTGTCGTTGTTCTCTCCCTATTTCTTTCTCTTTCTTTTTCGTTCAACCCTCCTCTAACCACCCTCCGACTCGTGCCGCGGCATTCAAAGACGGATTAGTTGTTTCGTAAGGATGCGGGAACTATCAAGAGGATCGATAATACGCGAATACTTTGAAACAGGGAGAAAAATTTGACGATAATATCTAACCGATATCTCGATCATATCGATATTCATTTTTAAATCAATACCCTTCCCCTTTTTACATAATTATTTTATATATGCCATTGGAGAAAAAGTAATTAATAAAATATTAAAAATGAATATACTAAAAACGAAATGTTTATGAAACTAAAGATATTGAAATATAAATTCTTCTTTCATTTTAAAAGATCGAGAGCAAATTCTTAGTCACCTACTTTCGAAAAAGGCGCATCCTTTTGTACTCCATTTCATCCCTCGGCTGTTACACTTTCTCCTAAAAGTGTAGATTTTACGAAGGCCTGAGGTCGTTCACAGTTTTCTCTCGTTATTCACGTTGGACGTTTAGAGAGTCGTTTCTTCGTTCATTTTCTTCTATCCCTCGTGTACCGCTACACGTGTTTCGACCCATCTCGTGAGATCGGCCTCAACGGGAAACCTGACGATTCCGCAAAAATAGTCTCTATATACTTACTCGAGGGGAAAATAGTTCTTTTAACTCTCTATCTTATATTTTTATCCCCTTTTATAGGACAGTGTGATAAACTAAAAAAAGAAAAGAAGAAGAAAAAAAAAGAGGAAAAAAAAAAGAAAAAAAAAAAAAAAAGAAAGAAAAAAGAAGAGAATACGTCTTTTTCACTGTCTGAACAAAAAGAGAAGAATATGTAGAATAGCGACGGAGATCGGCGAGTTTCGACCTCGTAACCTGACAAAAGGTAAAATACAACCCTGAGTTTCACGGAGTTCATTGTAGATATATATAGTATACATATACATATATATGTACGTTTACACACACGTACATATATACACACACACACATATATATATATATATACACATAGTATATATAGAAAATACTTCGGGACCCTCGACGACAAGATTTCATATAGAAATGAATTTATAAACGACAGCTTATGTGTATATACCTCTTGCTTTTTTCTTCTATCGGTATGAAGGAGAAACGTGTATCATAACGCCGTGAAAGAAGGCGACTTAACGAATTTGTTTCTTGTGAACACGCTTCGTAACTATACAACATTCTTACACGGTCTTTCGATTGAAAGAGAGAGTGTGAGAGAGAGAGAGAGAGAGAGAGAGAGAAAGAGAATCAGCCCTTTTCTCAATAATTCAATCAAATAATTGAACGAAGTAGCTAAGAAGAAGAAACCTGGGGTATCGTACAAGTATGAAGTCCGTTAAAAATCACATTCATATGAGATCATGTTCATTTAGGATTACGCGATATCTACTTGTATATACATAAAAGAAATATTTGGAACATGAACGCGAACGCATTATAACGACATACTATATACACTTGAAATGCCTAAATTTGTGCTCTCTGGCAAAAAACATTGAATATTGTTTTCCATATATTCAATTTTAAATTTATCACTTGACTCAATTCAATTCAATTTTTCGCTATTTCAAGACATGCAGATTACTCTTTGCATCCCTGTAGACATTGAAAGGTCTTCCGGTTCGGTTTGTTCCGGTAAGTCGATCGGTATACCAGACAGATTGATCGGTAATGAAACAGCCGGATCGATTACCGAACTCTGTAGCTGCTGTTGACGTTGTCGATGAGTCGACCTCTTAGCAATGGGCGTGGTCAAACTCTTTCTTTGGGGCAACGTCGTTATAGTTGTCGTTGTTGTTGTCATAGTCGTCGTCGTGGCTGTATTCGTCGTTGTAGCCATCGTAGTCGTAGTCACCGTTGTCGTTGATTCTACTTCATCCATGTCGATATCTACGTCTATATCGATATCGATATCGTCTTCGAGATCATCGCTAGCTACGGACGGTGATGCTACTCGTGACCTCGACCCCTGTCCTCCAAGCATCACACTGCTAGTACCACACTTGTGATGCATCAGATGATGCCTTCTTCGAAAACGCATCTGACAATGTTCACACTCAAATGGTTTTTCGCCTTTATGAATCAAAGAATGTGCCTTGAGTTGATTCGAATCGCTGAATTTGGCCGAACAGAGTTCGCAAGCGTACGGACGTTCACCCGTATGCACACGCAAGTGACGACGGAGATTGGCTACTTGGACGAACTGTCGATCGCAATGGCTGCAATGATATGGTTTCTCACCGGTATGCAATCTCATGTGCGTCTTCAGGTGGTGATCTCGAGTAAATCTGTAATTAAATGGTTCAAATGTATGTTCAAATGTATGCCGTTTATTTTTCGTTCGTTTTGTCTTTCTTTCTTTTATTTATTTATTTATTATTTTTTTTTTTTTTTTTAATTTTATTTTACTACTTTTTTTTTTCTTTTTTTTCCCCTTTAAATTTCTGTATTCTATCTTTTTCTCACCTTTTATGACATTCCGGACACTCAAACGGCTTCTCACCCGTGTGCGTGCGTTCGTGATTTTGTAACACGTGTTTGTAACCAAAAGATCTCGAACACACGCCACAGGTGAAGACCTTGTCCCTGCCATCTTTTCCCGCCTCCGGACTGATTGACGTAGGTGGGCTAAGTGGCGCCACGCTCTCCAATGAATTTTGAACGTTGCTCTCCGTCTTTGCCACCTTCGTTGACTTTCTCTTCGTCGCTTGGCTCTTTTTATTACTGATTCTATCCGCGCTACTGCTCACGACGTTGTTATTATTATTATTATTATTATTATTCGTATTACCGGAACTAAGGCGGCGGGAAGAGGATTTTGTCGTGGCAAGAGCTGACGAAACTGAACCAGGCGAGTGATGAAGTGGCGAAGGGGGTGAAGAAGCTGCGGGTGGCGCCCACCCTCCAAAGAGTGTCTGATGATGTTGATAAAGAGATGGACTCGCCGCTAAAGTAGCATGTAGTGAAACAGGAATGCCGGCTGCCATTAGAGCTGCCGTTCGGCTGGCGGCCAATAATTGTTGAGGAGTCAACATCGACAATCCTGCTGCTGCAGCACCCATTCCAGAGAACATCGCCGATGAAGTGTTATTGTTGTTATTGTTATTGTGCAAAGGCGGTGAGAGAGGTTGCTTCTCCGATTCTTGCTTCATGTCGAGATGTTCTCCAGCCAGAAGTCCTAAGATCAAAGATCGAATGATCTTTTCAAATCATTAAGTTTATAAACGATAAATAGGGATTATGATTCTTTTTTATATTTTTGTGTTTTTTTTTCTTTCTTGTTTACCACGAATTCTATATAAATATAATTTCTTTTTTTATTTAACAAATAACGAAATATATCCATTGCACTTAATCTAATCCAACAAAGAGTTCTCCTCTTTCTCCCATATACGTATCTCGTGCACGCGAGCAAATTCTCCTCCTCCATTCATTCGCGCACTCTCGTACGCGACGCAGAGTTCATTCATAAAACTCGACTACACCCACCCACGCCAGTAGAACGCGTACCATCTCTTCGACTATTCACGAAGGCCAACGACTTTGAGTATGTCTAACTTTTATCGCGCGTATCGAAGCATCGACTACCATTCCTCGCGATAATACAAACTCGAATTTCTCCAATTTTCTTTCAAGGCCAATAATTTTTGTCGTCTTGTTTCACTTTATTTTTAAAGGGTGGACAAAATATGTACATAATTTCGATAATCGTTACCTCGCAACCGACGATCAAGTCCTTGATTCACGCATATGCTTTTCATAAATACATTTTATGCAACCTCTTATACGTTATTTCACGATATTTAAATATTATCGGTATTATCGGTATCATTAACTTTCAAATATTATCGAATATATTTCGTTATTTGCATGAGAAAAATCGTTGAGAATCTATTCTTTAAAAATTACTTTAGGTATTGACGTCAAACGAAGCAACTTACGAATATCCTAAATTTAACGGGAGTAAATTCACAAAAATCTCAAACCATTCGTATTATATGTCTATCACAAATTGTCTTTCAAATTTGTTCGTCGTAAAGGCGAATTATAATCGCAACGAGATTGATTTGATTAAAAACAAAACAAAACATTAAAAAAAAAAAAAAAAAGAAAAAAAAAAAATGAAAAGAAAAGAAAAAGGGAAAGAAAAAAAGGGGGAAAAAAAAGAAAAGCAAAAAAGCAAAAAGAAGACACGAAACGGTCGCACTCGGTCGGCGTTTGCTAATTAATGGACCGTTTAGGGGAGGGTTGTAATGAGCCCCGTTGAATCAATAAGGGTGCGTAGAGGTTTCCCTTTCCTTCTTTTCTCTTTCGTTCTTTATCCCTTTCTAACACTCCACCCCTAAAACTCCCTTAACGTCTACCAGTATTCTTACGGCCTACAATCGCCGTTTCCCGGCAACACGACGACGAGTACCGCCCCCGCCTGCATCCCTTCCCTAATTGGTCACAACTCCGATGATATTTCCACTTTGAATTTTTTTTTTTTCAAGCTTCTTCAAAGTATTACACCTCTTCTCCTTTTTTACTTTTCTCTTTTTCTCTCTTTCTCTCTTTCTCTCTCTCTCTCTCTCTCTCTCTCTCTCTCTCTCTCTCTCTCTCTCTCTTTTCTTTCACAATAGAAATCCAAAGCTTGTTACTTTTCCTTTTAGATAAAAGAAAATAATACGATTGAGATATCGTACGAAGTCGTTAAAAACGCGTTTAGAAATGTTACGAGAGAAGTGTATCTTCTACTTATGCAGAGAATAGAAAAGAACGAATGAACGAATGAACGAACGAACGAACGCACGTACGACGGATGAGAAAGATTTTTGGATGGAAATTGCGACTCGCGCGCAATCTCCTTGACAATTACAAAGATTATTTTTGGAAATACATACGTTACGAGCGCGAAACTCGTTTCACGTTTCTCTCCCATTTATTTCTCGTTTGCCCTCCGTCAAGTAATTTCACTTCACGCTGGCTTATCGATGTTTACAATGTGTCATAACACCGTCGTGTCGCCGCGAGCGCTTTTAGACTTTGGCGCCTTGCCAGTGCCACGACCGGTGGGGTCGTTAGAAACTCGGAAATCTTCCTCTCTTCCCTCTTTCCTTATCCACCACCTTCTTCTCCTCCTCCTCCTCCCTCCCTCCCCCAGGCCGAATACTTCCTTATCCTATTTCGTGTGCATACTCGACAACGATACAATGCGACGACATAACCATTGAAGAAGATTGAAATGAATATATGTCCGTAGTAGGATTTGCTTTCGAGGAAAATAAACAAAAGAGTCACATTGAGTACCCTTCAACGCGTCCGAAAATCTTATCAAAATGTGCCTTGGCTGCGGATAACTTTTGTTTCTTTAACGACTTCGGTAAGACAAAAATAATCGATTCTCGGATCTCTTACTACGACGAAGCTTGAAATGCGTGCCAACCATCTTTTGTCTTCTTCGTGCTTTGTTTACAAGCATGTGTGTACATATATATATATATGTATATATATACATATATATATATATATACGTATCTAAATGTGTATAATTTTGACCTCTCTTTGCTCCTTTTATTTTTTTTCTCCCCAATGTTTACTCAAATCGTAACGATGTATCTCCATTTTTACATCAAGCGAAACTCTTTATTTTATATTATTTTATTTTATTATTTTCTTTTTTCTTTTTCATACACAGCACGAAATCCTATTCCCTGTATATTCGTCGTTGTCATTTTATTTTTCCAAGAAATTTACTACGTGCTTATCATGTTTAGCACGTATGTACGTAACGACCTTTTGTTTATAGTCGTACAATTCCACGCAATTCGATCGTAACGCGTGATATCCGGAGAAAAAGAGATGGAAGGATAGAGTTGATTTTGTCGAGTCTTAGTAACCTACCTGCATTAACCTGTGCCTCCTGTAGATAAGACAGTGCCATTCTACGATCCGTGATACGTGGTTTCACTTAGACACTCCATCCACTCCCCCGCACAATGTTATCACTTGCGACGAAGAAGATCGAAAATAGATTATGTGGCACTGCACCAACGAAAAGAGAGAAAGAGATCAATTGAGAAAGATAGAAAGTTTCTAGACGGAGGAAAAGAACGAAATGAAGAAATATCGCGACAGATATTTCGATCTGTTTTTTCTCTTGACGATCTCTCTTTTCCTTATCAAACTTATGAACTTATGAACAGTTATAGAAAGAAGAAAAAAAAAAAAGAAAAAAAAAAAACAAGAAAAATCGTACGCGGGAAACCACAGTCGTTGTCTTGTACTTGCAATCCTCGTGGGTTTTTCCTTATTCCAATAGATATGATTAGAAGTATAATTAAATCTTCTTCGTATATCTTGAGAAGAGGAACTACGCGAATCAGAGAGAGAATCCCTTCTGTCTCCGTTTTTTTTTTCTTTTTTTTTTTTCTTTTTCTTTTAGTGTTTCGTCTTTTCCCTTTTACGCATCCATTGAGAAAGTACATATACGATTGATGAAACTTAAAACGAGTAAACGAAAAATAAAAAAAAAAATAAACAACTGAAACAGCCGAGGCGAGTCGTTATTACTTTTCTATTATAAACAACAAGCGAGCGAACGTTCAATTGGAAGGTAATAACTACGAACGTCGACGTTACCACGGGCTGACCTAACCCAATACTAAGTGACAGTCGAGTTGCGCTCGCTGTAGTCAAACATCCCCACCAACTCGATTGGTCTCCCACCAGTACCACTTTTGGCTACCCCCACTTTCCCACGCGTCTTCTCTCTACCCTCTCCGGAACGAGTGATCCGGCTGCGCGAGTCGACGCGCGCGCGACTCATCGAGGGCTGGAGCGTGCTTTTGAGCGAGTTGGATGCGTATAGTAGAGTTCTTCGAGATAGAAAGAGATAGAGACAAAGAGAGAGAGAGAGAGAGAGAGAGAGAGAGAAAGAGAGGGAGGGAGTGAAGTATAGAGGGATGGTGGTATCTATCGCTACGGAGGGAAAAGAGAACGGCTCGAGCGAGAGAGAAAGTGACTAGGCGATGCTAAAGGCGAAGGGAGAGCTGAACCTGCGACCGTGATCTTTTGGGATTGGGAGGGGGGTGGGGGTTGAAAAGAAGAGTCGCAGATACACTAAGGGGCTGTTTCTTCCTCTTTCTAACACCGACCAAACAGAAAAAGACACCTTGGTGATCGAGGAAACCTGCAAAAGGAAGAGAAAGATAGAACGTGTATGTATATCTATATATATATATATGTGTATGTGTGTACGTACATATATACGTAAGGAAATAGACACTATACTTGTTTCATAGTAACCCTCAACCGGACTAAGGTCTTATCCCTATCTAAGGGATGCCAAACCCCAAGGAAAGGAAACGTTTCACATTATTTTTTTCGATTGCGTAAAGTAACTCGTAAATACATTCTATATGGTCGTCACATACGTTATACGATCTTTTTAATTGCGATTGTTGCGTCAATGAAACTATGTAACGCATATGTTACATCTAATTTGAATTATAACGTATGCATTTAGAATGAATTAACAATAGGAGATATCCAATTGTTAAGATAATAAACGCTAACGAAGTTCTACGTCTTATTTTTAGTTAAGTAGACTTTTGTATAGTTTAGTAATATAATTAATTTACAGTCGTCGAATGTATAGATATCGTGAACGAAGAGTTTTTATAAACGTCGATAACTTCGCTCGATGACATATACAGAATAAAGAATAAATGCATAAAGACTAACTATTACTATTTATCAATGTACTCGATATCGAGTACATATTTTACTTGAATTTAATGTTTATAGTCGATATATTAGAAACGATCGACATTTCGCATTTATAAAATTTCAAAGAATTTTTGCGATTTATTACAAAGGTGGATGATACAACGTCAAGTAAAACATATAAGTAACGTCCGATACTTGCACGTATCAATCGATTGTACTTTCCTTAGAGAGAAACTTGTTTGATACATTGTTACGATGCTTTTTATCAAGCGACACAGATATACGTACGTATACATTTTTGTTCGCTTCGAATTGAAAAAAAATAAAATAGATCTTCCTATGAGACTTCGTAATTATTCGTGTGTCGCAAAATGAATAATACACAATTGTGTGATACAAGTGTTAAAAGTGATCGGATACAATGTCGAAAGAAAGAATTACCAAAGAAGCTTCGAACTTTTGCACCTGCAAAAGTTGTTCGATAGTTCATAAAAAAAAAAAAAAAAAAAAAAAAAATATTAAATAGAAAGCCTTAATAATAATGACTATCGTACGAATATCATTCCGGAAACTCAAACGTTTTCCCCAGCGGATGCGATGGTGGTGGATGATGTCGGTGGTGACGGCAGCTCGCAACTTCCTACGATGATAACGCGTTAGTACAATAATTCTCTTTTCTCTTTCACAAAGCATTCACTGTTTTTTTGAGTCGATTCTCAAAGGCTCGCGAGTCCCGTTCTTTTTTTTTTTTACCTTTCCCTACGCGACAGTAAACCGTCGGTAGGATTTTTTCCGGGGTTAAAAAGTACGTGCGGGACACTCGTATGTGCACGCGTGTAAACATACCTTTATTTTCTCTCTCTCTCTCTCTCTTTTCCTCACCTGCTCGAAGTCGAGCGTGCGCAACGCGTGCCTTCGGCCAAAAAACTTTTTCTCCTACCACTACGTGTGCGTTGCTATGTAAAAAAAAAAAAAAGAAAAAGAAAAAAATTAGAGTGTGTGAGAGAGAGAGAGAGAGAGAGAAGGAAAAAAATGGAAGCAAAAGAATGCCTTTCGCCTCGGCTTCCGATCGACACGCACACGCGCGCGCAATTTGGGGCGCACGGCGAGGAGTTCGCGCTTACGCACGCGTAGACCTAGTGAGAGAAAGAAAGAAAGAAAGAGAAAGAAAGAGAGAGCGAGAGAGACAACGACAGGGAGAAAGAGCGATAGAGATACAGAGAGAGAGAGAGAGAGAAAGGGAGAAAGAGAGAGATATGAGTATGTGTGCGCGTTCAATGAAGAGAGAGATAGAGAGAAAAAGAAAGAGAAAGAGATAGAAAGAGAGAGAAAGAGAGAGAGGAAAACAGTGAATTCGAACACACGCTCCGCGTCCTGTCAGCCGCCTGTCGTCGCTCCACGGATAGAGATGAGTAGATTGGTGAGCAGATAGGGCGAGAGAAAGAAAGAGAGAGAGAGAGAGAGAGAGAGAGAGAAAGAGAGAGAGAGAGAAAGAGAGAGAGTAAGAGAGGGAATGGAAAAAAACAGAGATAGCCGGGGGTATTCAGAAGGTCCAAATCGAAAAATGAGATCTTGAAGGTATCTCTTCGATTTTACCGAGCTTTTTATACATATTTTTTTAATAATGTTTTTATTCACTATATATTTAGAGGTATTCTAGGTTACACTGTATTTAACTGATCGTAAGTTAAATCGTTTTGTATAGAAATAAAAAGAGATTTTGATGCGTGATCTAGAAAATTCGAATGCATTGTTGCAGTTGTAGCATCATTGTAGGATCATTACATTTTTGTCGATCGATCGAGATGATCTTGAAGCTCTTTCATGATCATTGTTAAGGATATCTTTTCTTTTTTCCTCTCTCTCTTTTTTTTTTTTTTGTTTCTTTTTTTTCGTTTTTTTAACGTTTGGAAATTGTACAATAATCGGAACGGCTTAAAATATACAATTTTTAGAATCGTTGATAAAAGGGCTTGTGCCACTGAGCTACAATTTTAAATTCATTTAATTTACAATTTATTTGACTTCAAACAATATTTGTCACTTTTAATTTACATTCTGAATTGTTCCTATGATTGATGGCATATCATTATTTGCTATCATCGAGTAATTTTAATGGATCTACTTAACTTTTCATCTGATGGATGTTTGTTGAAGAAGAACCGGCTAAATAATGAATTGTTTTTAACCACTAAGGATCTGTAAAACCTTTTAAATCCTAGAAAGAGTACGTCTGTACCTGCAATTTTTATAATATGTACTTAACCTTTGGTTATCGCATGCAGAGACGCTAGCTTTTACCTGCTGTTTAGGTATTGTATGACGTACAAAGGTGTTTAAATCTTTCATTATACCTGTATAGTATAATCTATCAGATTTGTAATAATATATGTAAATATGAAGGAATGTTCATTTACGTTAGAGTAGAAAAAATATATTTCTTTTGTCTTCTTCTTTTTTTTTTCTTTTTTCTTTTTTTCTTTCTTTTTTTCTATAAATTCATATAAATTCGAAATATACGAGTTTTAATGATTTTTTTATTACATTATAGTAAACTTTCTTTTTTCGAATTTTTTTCGAGAGTTTAAAACTTGTCCTGGACTCGTAAAAATTGGACCTTCAAAAAAAATAATAGTAAGTAGACCTTAAAAATGCGCTCTAAAATATTCTAACAATGGAGGCTAATATTTCACTGGAAGTAAAATGGGACCACGGGTTTGACAGGTTATAGTCTATATGATCGGTTTTAAACTCTCAATGAAGTGTAAGACCTAAGTCTTTGAATTTCGTAACATCGGGGACATTTGGTGAAGGTTCTATACGAAGAAATGTTAGAGGAAAAGAAAGTACAAAGATAAAGCTTACAGAAAGTGTATATTGGCAATTAAAGCTAGGATCGCTCTAGTTTTACGAAGTTTCAAGGTGACTTTGAAAGGTAACACAGTCATTACTTTATCACAAAACTTTCGGTACTCGAACGTTGAAGATTCTTTGAAACCATGGTTTAAACTGAAGGTATGTACTTTGTATTTTTATAAATTTATTACTTAAATTATCAGGTAAGAAAATACTGACAATAAGAAAAGAAGTCCTTTTGCCAACGATGATGCAATGCTCTCTTGTTCTTTGAAAAATATGCTCGTTTTTAGATACCTTGAAAGACACATCATATATTTTCTTTACATTGTCTTTCTTAAAGCGTTAATGTATTATTTATAGAAAATATTTTTAAACGAGATATAATATAAATTAAAACCGAAACTGAAAATAATTGACTAGAATATCCTCGAAGAATCATCTATTTCTACCACAGGTCAAAACATGAGTAAGGGAGTCTTAGGTTGACTCCTTCGCAATCTAATCTCAGGCAACACGAGCGACTCGTCGCGAAGAAGAACAAATCCGAAGTCTTTCGACGTTTTCCGAAAATATCTTCTTGTTTGTTGGAACGAGAAATAAATAAGACAGCTGCCGATAATCTCGTTAATCCAATGTCTCATGCGAAAGTAGAGTTCAAGTTGAGTCGGGGTAACTAACTTTATAATAGGAAACGTTTAAAAAGATTACTCTTATCGCACGTACATATATATATATATATATATATTTATTTATCACATTAACGTCGTACACGAGTTGTGCCGTTGTTAGAAAAAAGCAATACGTAACGGTATTTCTTTTTGGAGATGTGTCCGTATATAACGTAAGCAAAGATGGCCAAATCTACCCCCAAAATCTGACCATTCGAAATCGAAAGCATTTTACATAGGGTGCATCGTTGCAGATTAAGTCGATATCTTGATTCGTTCTTTGTGGCATAACGGTTACTCGTGTTTTTTTTTTCTTTTTCTTTTTCTTTTTTTTTTTTTCTTCATAAGAAAAACTCGAAAAAGAGAGAAGAGGAGATTTCGTTATGTCGTAGAATCGATCGTTCGTTCAAAGATAGCG